ATATATATAGTTCTATCTCTGCTTGCTAGGCGCCGATTGGCCAGTAGGCTCATGTATACGTCCGTGAGCTCTAATCCTAAAAGCAGAACCAACCAAGTAGTCTTGGATTCTCCACACTGAACAGATGAATCCCATTTTTTCTGTTTTTTTTTCTTGCGAACGAATTCATTGTGTTCTGTAGCCCAAGTTCGTTGCAGTCGAAGCTGGAGAAGGTTGTTGTTCAGTGGGTTCAGCGCGAGCCATGGAGCAGTTTTTTTTTCTTGCAGGCGAATTCATTGTGTTCTGTAGCCCAAGTTCGTTGCAGTCGAAGCTGGAGAAGGTTGTTGTTCAATGGGTTCAGCGCGAGCTGGACATGGAGCAGTTACCTGCGGATATGTCGATAGATTTATCGGACGATAGTGCCGAACGGGAGGATAAGGAGAATGGTGGATTGTGCAGTAACAACAATACTGTCCAAGGGACAGGTAGTTGGATCCTCTGCATGGTTACGGCACTTCGCAAACTCTACAATCACCCATGGTTACTTCGACAATTTCTCACACCTGCGCCGAAATCCAGCTCAAAAGGAAATCAAGGCATGCAGTTCTCCGGTGGTCGGGTACGTGTAGTTCAAATGGAAATGCAAAGATATTGAATAGTTTCATTCTGATATTCATTTCTACGGAAATTCTATCTTTATTCGTTTTGAAGCTGCATTTATTTCCTCTATCTGTCGCTGGGTCACTGAGTTTTCGGTGGTGTGAGTTGCTACGTCTTCCTCAACCGAAGGATCAATATGTCAGAAGGTTAATAGCCCGAAGTGTTTCGAGTATTGTTCACTATAGATAAGTGTTCTTTATGAATGTGAGGTTCATTCACTACCACAATGATTGCGTAACTGAACCATCCGTATCAATCTTTCAAGTTCGTGATGTGTGGTACCCCTACAAGAAGACTAGGGCAAAACCGGACAAAACCAAGAAGAACAATGTGATATACCAACTCAACTGCAACAACTGCAACAAATTCTACGTCGGACAAACTGGCAGGAGACTATGCACACGAATAAAGGAACACAACGCGGCCGTCAGGAGGCATGACCCCCTGTCCTTGATATCCATACACGAGGACCAAGAAGGCCACAAATTCAACTTGGAAAACGCAGAAATTTTGGCATACGGACGCACGAGGCACGGAAGAGAATTTCTGGAAGCATGGTACTCGACGGCAAATTCGATCAACCGGTGCATCGAACTGGACCCAATTTACGCACCCCTACGTGCAAAAGACCAACAACTCAACCGGAAAACTCAAGGAAGACCGAATATTGGATTCACAAACAACGAAACAAGGAACTCCTTGGAGGCAAATCAATAAAGGTCACAACCCAGGACTGGAAGGGACAAAGGTCAATCTAGCTTCGACCAGATTACGACGGAGGGGATGCCAAGCTCAAAGGTCACGTGGGCATCGGCGAATGGGGATACAGGACAACGGAGCAACCAATGGAATCACCCGACCGAACAACTAATCGCGACCAAAGGTCATCCCCTGCTAGCAGCACGTATATTAACACACGCACAACACTACCCAACGCACAACCACCAACCCACCGCTACGCACTGCTACGCTCCACAATAACGCACTGATGATGTCACCTCGATTGGTGATGAAACGTTTGCAATCAAATTGCCCAGCTCAGCGAACAAGCCAACGACCAGACTAGGGCACCTTTGCATGAATGGCCAAATTCTCATTTTTTACATTCGGCTTTCGAAACCCCATGTTGTATGTTTGGAATGGTTAGCGGGGATGTGTTTCCCATAGCTTCTTGGTAGTGATGCGTTAATTTGTATCTTCTACTCTGCAACCGAAGCATGGTGAAAATGACTTGCTTCGTACGCCTTGCTTCAGTCCGAAAGATGGACTTTTCATGATAACGAGCACACTGCTCCCTGCTCTTTTGAAATGGACAATCTCTCAGATGTTTCCTTCTATCATTAGTCGAGATCTTGAAATTACGCAGAAAGACATGCTCTAGATTCTGGACAATTTTGTCGCATAGAAAAATGCATGCAGGAACTTGAACATCGATAATCTCATGACAGGAGACCGGTTAGAGGGGGGCTAGAGGGACTGGTTGTTGGTTTATTGGCTGAACTGGGCAATTTGATTGCCGGGGGGGGGGGGGGATATCATCAGTGCATTGTTGTTATGGAGCGTAGCGATGGATCGGTAGTTGTGCGGTGGAGGGAATGTTCCCAGTTGATATTGTGGTGAATGAAAGGTGGAGTAAGCTCCGACAACGAATGCTGGTCGCTGGGCCGCATAGATTGGTTCCACAGGTATAGGTGATCAGTGATGACAAATTCGGAGCAACATCTGTCTCGGCAGTAGTGATAGAAACCATCTTGTCAATGTGCAGCAGTCTGTAGGTTGTCCATGAGCCACAGTTTTTCTTTGAGGTCGATGAGTTTCAGTGGTTGGAGGAGCGCTCGCTATGGTTCCCATAGATAACTGTTTCCTCGATCTAAATTTAAAAGAATTGTTTAATTGTAGCATCCTTCCGGTGCCTACCTGCCTTGTCACTCGAAGGAAGCCGAGGGCTGGCTATGGTTCCCATAGATAACTGTTTCCTCGATCTAAATTTAAAAGAATTGTTTAATTGTAGCATCCTTCCGGTGCCTACCTGCCTTGTCACTCGAAGGAAGCACGAGGGCTGGGATACTACCAGGTTGCCCAAGTCTAGACAGGAGAAGTCGAGAGACAGGGGGTCTAATTTACTTATGTGGATATGCGTATTTCTTGACGTTGCGAACGGCATCCGATAATTTTTTTCTAAATCATTTCTCATGTGGCTATCCGTTATACCCCAACTGGTTTCACCTGAGTGAACACTGAAGTATTTACACTTGATCTTCTGGGTCATGATATCTTTCATCGTCGTTACTTCGTGCCTATTTCAGTGTCTATTTATTAGTCGACGATGGTTCGTCTTCTTCTTTTGGTAGTGCATCATATGTATTATCTTTTCCGTCATTATTTGTTGCTGATTTTCCGTGTAACAATCCCTCCTGTTTCTCTAGGGTGGTGCTTATCTATTCCAGCATAGTTCTCCTAACGAGGCAGTGTTTGATAATAGAGATATCTTAGGCACGTTCAATAATTAAAACCAAGGAGGTGGTTTCAAATTCTTATTTGACAGAGTTCTCCTCCGACACTGTTATCTACACACTTCATTAGTCTGCTTCGCTAAGGTTCTCAGTACAGTCTTTCTCTGCTCAAGATAGGTTACACATTACATACGTCAAGAGTAGGTAGAGCCTTGTCACCGCTCTTTTTCGGACCACTATCTAGTTTCGGACCACCACTAGTTTACAATTAATGTAGGTAGTATTCCGATGTCCTTGGCATTTTCTAAATGGATGATAGGATTTGCAATGTAGTTATTCTTTTCCAACTGAAATATGGGGCGATCTTTGTGCAGCGCATTCATTTGACAAATAGCTTAAACGAGAGATTCAGCTGAGTTTCCCGTTAAAAACAATTCTGTCTTCAGATGAATGTTTTACGAGAATATGTCTGGCTCTTTTTTGTGTTGGCAAATGGGAAGATTCAACGCAAATCTGTGACACTAATGATCGTAAATTTATCCATAGGAGTGAAGTTGTCCTAAGGTGTTTCTCCTTTGTCTGTTACATGTAAGCAAGATATCCGCAGTAAGACAACTCGAGCACCAGAAGGTTCCATAAGAAACACTTCATTTATCCTGTTGATCACAACTCTTAATATGTATAACCTGTCGTCCAATTAGAGGCTGAACTAATCCTAGCATTGATGTGTTGGTGCTATCTTCGGTAGTCTGAGTACTGACTGTTGTACCTTCCAGGCTTCTGTTACTCTTTTCCCTCTCTCCTTGGATTAAGGTAGAGAGTGGTTTTGTGTTCATTCTATTAAAAAGTGTCAGTGAAATAGGAAATATGAAAGTACTGTTACCAAGACCATCTTTTACAATACAACTAAATATTGGTTCTGGCATGTTTCAACCTAAGACGAATGTTCTATCGAACTCCTTTTTGTAGATGGGGACCCCTTGACGGGCCATATCAATGGTCAGAGACATTATCAGACATGGCCCAGTCGCGCCCTCAGTTGCACTCATGTATCCAATCTGTTGCTTTTAATGAATAGCTCCCTTCCCAATCCCCCACTTAGCAGTCCGCCTACAGTGCTGTATTTACGCACTTATTTATTAGCTCCCGTCCCCAATGCGCGGCTACCTACCCCACCTCCCCGAATCATCGGTGGACGAAACTGTGGCACCTACAACCACTGTACGGCAAGTACGCGATTATTACAGCTGACAATGATGATGATCTCTCAGTCTGTGACTTTCGTCACCCACACTTTTTTACTTGTACTAAGAATGTTTTCTGTCAGTCATTCATATCTTCGTTACTCCGTTTTTCGTTACAACCACCAGCTACCACATAGTCTGACCAGAGAACTTTTAACGTTGCTTGATGAGTCGCCTGGTCTACGGAGTTCAGCCGGTTTGAAGACGACAGGTTTTGATGTCAGTGCTATTTCGGATTCCGGTAAACTAAACGTTCTGGACCATATGCTGCGTCAACTGTTTGGGCGCTCAAATGGAACAAACTCTTCCACCAAGAATGCATCAAAACACCGGCTAGTGCTGGTGTCGAATTTCACGCAAGTAATATCTGGTGTATTTGATTTTCGCAGTTAGTCATGTTCCTGTTTCTGGCATCTACTAACCGCACTAAGAGTAGCCGTGACTCCAATGCAGATGAACAAACCGTTTCATACTACTTCCGTTTTCATTAGTATCTAGCCGGCGGGAAATGAAAAACCAATTGGACGTCTAATCGGGCACCTTACTGTTTGGCTGTAGCACCCTTTCGGCGAGCATCTGCCATGCAGTTTGAAGGAGGCACAAGAGCTGGACTAATGCCAGATTGTCCACACTTAGACATGCAATTCGAAAAAACGGGACTGAATTCGAACCCCTGTCCCTCCGTGTTTGGTGCCCTGTTTTCGTTAAGCCATCTCGGTATATATCTTTGCTTGCAGTGATTTACGTTTGGTTCCGGAAATTCAGGTCAGTCCTTGTTTAGGCATCTACGGCAAGAGCCTCGGACGCCTAGCAAATAGCCATATTTTCTGGTCCGTATCCCCATCGTTGACAGCTAAGGTTACAATCAGCCAAACACGTCTGAAACTTATTAGACCAATGGAACTTTGGTCGTTCTTGCGATAGGATACAACGAATGCTAAATATCTGAATATTTATCGAAAAAACTGAAAAGTACTATACAGCTATACAGTACTATACAGCTATACAGCTATTACCTTAAGCGGGTGCTATCATATCATCCAGATACTGACAGCGATGTTGGATAACTTTACAGAGTCAGCAAGCCTCTTCTCTTGAGTAGGCGAGTCGAGGCTACATTCGTAATGAAGGTACTTCATATCAGATGCCTATGTATCTGTGACAGATCGTCGAAATGTCGTCCGGTTTGTGACCGATCCTATCTGATACATTTTGCCTACATCCATTGCATGTAAAATCTTTCGCCTGGTTTGTCAAAGCACTAAGCTGACTTGAATTTCCTATCTGTCAAAAAACTCCCCTTGCTTGCTGCCTTCCTGAGGAGTTAGAAACGATGATCTGTTCGCACATAACACACTAATCATAGGGTTGCTAAAAAACCTTCGACACCCCACGACCGGTTTCGCCCTTCTGGGCGCTCGTCGGGTAGATGCAGTCCCCGAGATTCCATCAACCCCCAAGTTGTACTTGAATCCAAATTGGACATATTTCGACAAAAACACCCATTTGCGCAAGAATTCGGTCTTGATGAGAGCCCTAGCTAAATCTGGCTGAATCTCGTTCATGATGGTCCACGTCAACTGAACGTGTTGTCTCAGGCAGCCTTTGTTTCATTTGGTGTCAAAACCGAATTCTCGTGCAACTGGGAATATTTCGACTTCGTCCTTCTTTTTACATTCAGTGAGTTTCTCACATTTTGTCATTCTTCTGATGTAGATTAGAACCTTATTAAAAGGAGCACCTCGGATGCTGATTCAACAGTCTGAAAGGAGGTGGTCAGTCGCAACTGACTTCTGAACACTAAAGATTTTAATAGTTTCATATTGCGTTTGTTGCGTGTGGGCTTTATGTTTAGATCTGATTCAACAGTCTGAAAGGAGGTGGTCAGCCGCAACTGACTTCTGAATACTAAAGATTTTAGTAGTTTCATATTGCGTTTGTTGCATGTGGGCTTTATGTTTAGATTTTACGTATGGATGCGCAACGCAGCTGTACTACACACAGGAATACAAAGGCACATCCCTAGAATATCTGTCAGTCATGTGAGGGGAGGCAATTTCAACCAACCTCATTAACGATTGCTCTCAGAAATGCAAGTCGTTACTCGTGTCCGACAGGAGATTACGTCGACGGTGTTTGTAATGCATTACTTTTCTAGCACCACTTGTATTTGTGAGAAGCCGAAGTGAAAAACAACACTTCGTTGCAATGGAAGGTATTTCAACCGTGAGACTCACATTCTAGCGCCAATGAATTGACGTTCCTTCCTTCAGGTATATCACTGTTGGACAACAGCCAACTATTCCAGGTGTGACCGCTGCTAAAAGTGTCCTGCTTTTTTCTTTAAAAAATCACATTGTTGTTAACGGGAGGCCCAGCTGAATCTCCCGTTTGTGGCGTAGTACCCAGTGCACTAATTCGGAGCAATGTGCTTCGTTTTCTTTATTTTCTTGGACCATTGTCTGCCCGAATCCTGATTCTGGAGTTTGTCTGTTTTAAAAATTCAAGCATCATCTGTTTCGTCATCAAGAGGCCCCATCTAATGATTGCGAGAAATCCTCATTTTTATGCGCATTTAATCAGTGAGGCTTTCGTTCGCTAGTTGTTGTTGTCATTGGAACATAACTGACGGAGTCGGGTGTTAGAATGCTCCAGCGAACTTCCGCTTACAAGCTTGCCAGTTCTGCCCCAGCCTACGAGGATAGATGCTTGTAAAGCTTTTTCATCGGGGTGTACATTTGAACACGGTTGTCACGGGGAAAGTGTCCTATCAGTCAGTGCTATTTATTGTTTCTCTGTGAGCTTCGATTGTCACTTTTTCCACTCCTCAAAACCTCAAAATAAGCAGGTCATTTGTATCCGCGAGATACTGACTGAATCTACAGCTGGTAGTTTACTAACGGCATTTTGTTTGCTTAGTTGATTCCTTTAATCAAATTAACATGTACAGATAAGTCACCAGTCACATGGATCCACTTTGCTCCGGTTGCGTGCTGTCTTGCCAGACAGGCCGCAGACGACACGTGTTAGAGTGCTACTTAACGTCGATCAAAATACGTGACTACCCTGGATAGTAAAAAGTCATCTCATAGTGAGTAGTAAATGTTCTTTGTAAGGCTTTCCTTGTTGTACCCTGAGAGGATTTGTGTATTGGGAGGGATCCCGTACTGGATATTTTTAGTCTTGCTAAGGCCACTTCCAAAGATTGGGCTTGCGGCGACCGCCGTACTTTCAACATCTATCGGATTCGCCCGGTTCTCGAACTGCAACGTCAATTAACACTCAGAGGGATTTTTCGTAGTCGTGAAGTGATGGCGCGCCAATGGGCTACCGGGGATTAGGAACCAATCAGGATTTTGTTCATTACCATGTGTGCTACACACCATTGGCACCGGATGTACACTGTATGCTCTGCTGCCCAAAAGAATACTGTCTCAAAACTGAAACAACTTTTCTCCATAGCGAGCTTGTAGTGTACATTGTAGGATAATATCCTTTTTAGGCTATCTGTCTCTTTTTTGTTTGCTCCTCTTATTCATTCTCTTGGCCCTCTTTTTCCCTCAACCATGGTACTCTGTCGGCTCAGACTTTGGATTTATTGGAGATGGTGTGTTTCCGGGTGACAGGAAGACGTCCACTTCGTCTGGATGGCCAAACGCCGAATAAGCGGAGACTGGAAATCGTGGAACAGTTGAATGATCTAAACTCTCGCGAACGTGAGCCTCGTGGTCTAGTTGTGTATAAATTTTTTGATTTTACAGATGATTCATGTTCACAGAGCATCGACGGTTACTCCTTGTCTACTATAGGACTGAAAATCCATACCTGCTTTTGACTAATAGAAGGGACTACTGTCCGTACGAGGGATAGTTTTATCCACCCTAATGCTTCCTTGCATTAGTTTGTCATCAACCAATGCGTCGGTTTCTGTGTCGTGTTTTTCACTCGTTAGTCTAGTGGAGAACTGTCAATGCTAATTGATACTGATGTCGGAGTGTGAGCACTCGACCGGACGATTCCTCGTTCTATTTCAGCTAATATTCTTATTTTCATCTCGACTTGTGTGAACATCACCACATGTCTGCCCTTGTGGCTCCCTCGGGTCGCGTTTCATTGGAACCTTGATAAGGAACCAAAACTGCTGTGATCTAATTACGGTCGAATTCCACTCCAAAAACCGACTTCGGGACCGCTACTATGCTGGATATCACGCGGAAGGATATCCGTATTTTGCTAACCATGGTCGACCCTTGAGCATCAACAATCTCGACTCAACCACGGGCTCAAAAGTGAATCTCCTGCTAGGAATTTCATAGAGTAACTTCCTTCTCTTATCACAGCGAGGACTGGTTTTCTCCCTTACTGTATCTCGGGTGACCAGCTACTCAATTCATCCCTGACTTTTAAAGGGTGACTGCGAATCTAACGTCTAACTATGCACTTCTATTCACAAACGTCAGCGTCCCCCTCTCGGAAGTGGTCGCTTTCTATAATTCATCAGTGATTGTTATGAAGGCTTTTCTCACTGTATTGTGAAGTGCAGTTTAAGCAAAATGTATCCATAATACCTCACTCTCTCTATTGACCATGGTAATCCTAACGAATTGTCTTTTGTTTTTTATCCCGTTCTATTTATGACAGGTGTACTACTGCTAAGCTCCCGCGCTGGTGGCACTGGTCTTAATCTGGTCGGTGCAGATCATCTCATACTTTATGATATGGATTGGAATCCAGCGAATGACGCCCAAGTACGATACTCATGCATAATTTCCTTTTCCACAGACGTTTGGATACTGACCAACTGTTTTCACCGTGTTCCTTAGCATTGTTTTTCCTACTCAGGAGAGCACTTACTCGTGCTTTGTTTTCTTGTTTAGTCACCTCTGTTTTAGTTCAGCGTCAATTTATCGGACCTGAATCAATTGTCCATAGTACTGAACTACAATTTAATGGCAAGGTAACTTTGTTAACTACTCTGTTAAGTCCATCGTTACCGGTCTTTTTTGTGGTCTGTTTAGTCCCTGAGATAGCAGTATGTACATAGATGTACACACTAATTGGTTTCGTTTTTGGACCTCGACCAACAACCGGTAGAAGAACTCAGTTAGTTTACATGACTTATTTTCGATATTAAGCAATTATGACATCAAATGAGGCTATCAGTGGTTTGGAAAAGTTCGCTTACACCCTAGAATACACTGATTTCTCTAATGAGACTTCAGTGACTATTGCTTCGAAGCTTTTCAACGTTAAATTTCATCTTATAATGCGTCGGTTACTGAACTACAATTGAGGCTTGTGGTGCTTGTGAAATCTATCGACCACCAATCTTGCGTCTTTCTATCTGGTTCCTTAGATCCCGGGATCACAGGCCATTAAAAGTGTGTTTCTCTGACCGCCTTTGTGTCTGCCTCTGTTGAGAATGTTATTCACGTGAAGGATGTGAACATTGAAGTCTTCAGAAAATCCAAACTAGTGACCATTTCGGGAGTGCATCTGCCGTTATACCCATCAAACTGTAATAGGCTTCTTCTGTTCGATGATCTTCCTGGAGCCACTTAATAATCTGGATAGTCTGCTATTCACCGAATCAATGAAACAGCAGTCTCTACATATATACTCTTTTGCAACTCAGCTCGGTTTTAACCGAAGACCCTATCGAATTTCCCGTTTATGTTCTTCAACTGAATGTGCTGCATAAAGGTCGCCTCATGTTCCAGTTGGTGCGGTATTCGAGATATCGAAGTATATTTTCATTAAAAAAAACTACTTATAAGTTTGCTGGAAGCTGTTCGACAGCCCACAACCGGTTTCGCCTTTCCTGCGGTCATCAGCTTCCGTCAACCTTATGTTCTCTCTGAACCCAATTTGGACATATATGAACAAATACACTTATTCGCACATCTCCGTGCAACTTCGTTATTTGCATTCACGAACTCCAAAAATTTAACAGTTTCGTTTTTCCTAACTTCGTGTCCTTGGTTAGCGGATTTTCCATTTTATCGATTTTATTTCAGCAGAACGGTTGCCGTTGCTAGAGGTGATATTGTCCTATTCTCATTAGTAGTTGACATTTGGGAATTATGCACCACCTCAAGACAAGTGCGTGAAACCGTTATGCTGGTAGTTTCGTGCACAATCAGTGTCATTAATCTTTTTCTATTTCGGTTAACTCTCCCACTATTGGCGATCATTGTCCCACTTTTCAAGTGAATTCCATGTATTCTGACATTTTATGGTGGGTCCTCTCTTCCTCTGTAATCTACATCTGTGTACCAAAAACGTTCATCGATCCCCAGGTGTGGCTGATCACACGGGTTGTAGTAACAAAGTGACGGGTTGATAGCTTACTTGCAGCGCCGAGACCGAAGCAGTTAATCATTGTGAGAGCCTTCCTACATTTCTTACGTATGATTTGTATGATTCGTTCAAACAGATAGCAGTATTTTGATTTGCATTGACGTGTGGACTTACTTTTCGTGCACTATCCCCGCTTTGCCAAGGCGAACACAGTTCTGCACTACATTTTAGGCACTGGAAGGGCAGGTTTTCGCGTATATTTCTTTATTGCTAGCATTGCATTTGACTAATATTGTACCACTGATACGGTTTACTTGCACATTTTTATTTCACGCTATAGGCTATGGCTCGTATCTGGCGCCCTGGTCAATCGCGTCCCGTGCGCTTGTACAGGCTAGTTACAGCCGGAGGCTTAGAGGAACGTATTTTTCAACGCCAGGCTGCGAAATTGGCCTTATCTCATCGTGTACTTTTGGATCACTCTGAATATGAGCAGTCAAAGACACGGCAGTACGGCCCAAGACGAGCAGGAATCCTTACACGCGAAGAGCTTCGTGTAAGTCGCTTCGTAGCCTTGTCCCTTATTGCTCTTCTGTCCATCCGAACCGTTTGACTGGAGTGGAAAAGGAGAACTTAGTACTGCCTGGCTGCCTGGGCCCCAGTGGGCCTCATCAATGGCCTTTGACTCAAAGATCTGACAGGCATGGCGGTGGGTGAAAGCAGCGTCTTGTTCGTCCGCCCGTCATCGCAGCTGGTATTTAAAAGTTCCAACCAAAGACCACAGGTTTTGACTTTTCTCCACTGACGCTTACTTATTCTACTAGTAGCGCCTTACCCATCCGAAGTATGCTAGTATTTTTCCGTAACTAGGCTGCGTCGCCTCCTCGCTGCCTTCCGTGTGATTATTCTATCATCCCTTATCATCGAAATATGGTTGTTTTACTGAATTTCACCTGGCTCACTCCAGATTGGGGTCTACTAGCTCTCAAGTACATCTGGCTGAAGGGCCTTTCAATCAACGTCCCTTCAGACCTTTGGTCCCGGCGTATCACGCTAATGAAAGTCTGTTGGTTAATTCATTAGATTAGATCAGATCAGGTTAGGTAAGGTTAGATTAGATTAGAAGGATGTCACAGAATACCTTCTGAGTGACAGGGTCATTGGCAAGCATCTTCCACCTGCAGAGTACAAAGTCATGCCTGAGAACGTGCATACTCTAAGCCTAGGCATTGCAATTCGTGGAGGTGCAATGAAGATCTTGAACAATTGTACATACTTCGATAGTTATGCTGGCTCTGACGGAAGTACGTCTGATGAAGTCAGCCTTTCAGGACGAGTTCCCTGTAGACCTCTGTGTGCTTGGGTAGAAACGTAAGAAATGGCGGCTGGTCGATATCACTGACGTTCATACTACCATTTTCCCTCCAGATTGTTTGTTTGGTGTAGGTATCCCAAAATGCCTGATGTGAATTAGTTCTAGACTACTTCCCCCTTCACTCTTCTCCCTTCCCCTTTAAGCCTTTTGATAAAATTATGTCAACTTTGTAGTTCTATGGCGCTAAAGTGTCCATATCAACACCGATGTTGCTGTTTGTGGTGATGCCACCAGGCATTGATTAGGGATCTATTCGCGGACCAGGTTAACCTTACTGAGTTCAGTTGTTGCTTTTCCCCCTAACCTAATTTCACAAGTCAGTGTGAGCTCTTTGTTGTTAGTTGATTTATCGGGGCACTGAAAGGAATATAACGCACCCGTCCCTGTCTTAAAAGACCATATGAATCGGATTCACTATCAAATACGCTTAATCGGATAACTTTAGGTGTTCATTCCCAGAAGCTAGCTTTGAAGGGCTATTTAGAGCTCCAACGTCACACTCGAAGTACATAGTCGTTTCTTAGTTAACAGCAAACCATATTCTTACACTCCATCACTTCTTCTCTTTTCTTCTCAGGATTTGTTTCAGACACCTCCGTCATACTGTCTTTCGTGGACACATCACCTGATTGGTTGCACTTGTGATGTTGGTAGGAGCCTTAGTCCATCTCTATCCGATGATAGCACCCAATCCACTTCACAAGATATGCTCAATGATTCTGATGTCCGCCCATGTCAGCTGGGTCGCTCTTCGGTAGTCTTTTCCTCTATGCGACCAAAAGGTGATCAAGACCAGCTAAAGTCCGTGTCCGAAGCTTTGGCGTTCTTACTTGAATGGAAGCATTGTCTTTCACCTTCTGCGGTGGCCCAGTTGGATGATCCACTTCTCTCGCAATTTTCCACGTGTGATCTACCCATAAGTACGGTATTTTATTTAAAGTCAGACAAAACTGATGAGTCTACTTCAGCCCCATACATTCGAACTTAGTAAACCCGGTTCGTTCCGTGCGCACATTTTCTACATCGTCCCAGAGTTGAAATAAATCATCCTTTGTATTCTTCATTCCTATGTGACCTCCTGTCGTTTGGATAGAAGTTGTATGTAAGTTGAGGCCTTGGTTACGGTACGTGAACCTCTTCACATACACTTCTAATCCGGTTAGTGAGAATAATCGAGTCCTGTTAGGATTCGTCAGTAGCGCGCATCGCATCAAGCTGTAGACACAGCAGCCTAACGTGGTGACTATCTGAAGATCATACCGTGAACGGCCCATAATAAAAAAAAGACCTTCGTTCGATTGCGCAGTTCACGTCGCACTTTTCTCCCGTACGAATCGTCACTTGGAGGCTTCATCCAGCCTGTGAGATTTCTAGCTCCATGTAGCTAAATAATAAGCTGGGTGTAGCGCAGGTATTTTGAAGCTTCATTTGACATTCCGTCCTGCAGGTTTAGTCGACCCATGCTGAAAGACCTAGGAGCACTTTACAACTAATTCTTAATTGTTAGGAATTCTAGACAGTGTGAATCTCACAAATATCTAATGGTGTGATTTGAACCTGCAACCTTTCTGTTCGTAGCCAAAGACGATATTATTCGCGACGGATGGCTAATCGACAGTGATTAAATTGCGCCTAGCTAGAGTGATACCATTATCCTCCAATGACGCAGTCTACTTCGCGTAGTTCGATGTTGACTGATTAATCTAGTGGCGACTTCTTAACTGGAAGGCCCCAACTATTTACGTGCTGCTCTTCAACACTGTTGATGCCATTCGTAGAGAGTATTCTATATTTAAGACCCCTTAACCAACTACAGACATGTACATCTAACGGAAAAGTGTGAAAAGCTTTTGGCAACCTACGTGCCTGTCCATTCCAGGCTGTGTGCCATCTCATAGGAATGACCGTGTAACGATTGGTTCCTCAATATTATCTTTGTTGCTTCGCGGGACCTATATCCCAGGTGATCTATTCGATTACTCGTCTCAAATGCGTTGTCACAGAATATCCAATAATCTGATGCCTCCTTTGTCACCGAGGACAATCTCCATCTCTAATGACCACTTGAAATTCTCGCTTCATTTTTCTTCAACTTATTTAAATGCCGCCTCATATTCATCAGCCGCGTGACTACCTACGTGATACCAAAATGTCGCTGAAAGCTTTTACTTTCTGTTTCTGGAACTTTGCACCGGGACACCAGTTTGCAGGCAACCATATGATAGCTTGCCCGTTATGTGAATATCATACCAACTGAAACATGAGGCTTGAAAACATCATAAACGAGAGACTCAGCTGGTTACCAGGTGAGTCTCCCGTAAAACCGAATTAGTTCGCAAATGAATTTATTTCGCTATCATAGTTCCGTTTTTTGTAGTCCCAACATGAATGCAACCTTGCTAAATCAATTTAGTGCATTTCCATCAACGCAGACGTTTCATTCTCCGTTAGCGATGTTTGTGTCCCATGCACCTCTACAAATTCACCCGATAAGAATGTATGAATGTGGTTTCTAGCAGCCCCGACAGTGTCTTATCTGTCAATTACGTTGTCAACTGACTACGACCGCTGTTACATTGAAGTGTAGTTGATGTCTGTTTGAGGGGCTCGCGGTTTAGAAGCCAATAAGTAAGCTGTCCAGCGTCAGCAGCTGTTCTTCAGGGGTGTTTCTATCTCTGACAGATTCATGCAAGGTTGGCTATACAAGGAAGTGTTGGCGGTAGGGTGGTGTTTGAACCCGATAGATAATCTGACCAAACCATTGGAGTTGAGCACTCGTTTACATATTGATGTGACGTTAATAGAGGATTCAACAGAGTCTCCGTTGGGTGATATTCTTCATTCATAATGGTTTAGATCAACGTTATAATTAGCATCATATCAAGTATACATCTTCACGGGATCGTCATGTTCACTGTGTGCCTGAGGACATCAGTACAGTTAGATCTGCGAACAGAAATGTTTATACTAGAATCATCATGGCCACATACAGTTTTCTTGAGGGAAGTATTCCCTACCGAACTCTTCAGCAACAAGACCCTCGTCTTATATTCCAAAGGGTGTTTTCGCTCTGCGAATACCAGAGTTTAAAATAAATTGCTGTTCGTTGACTGACAGTGTATTTCTTTTCATATTTATTTCGGGGGGGGGGCTTGAGTTGTGCAAGCATCGTCCCTTAGGGCGATGTGTGTACCCTCTGTTTCCGTCGGCAAGTCCCAGCCCCTGCTCTATCGTATGTTCCCGATGAACGAATTGACGATCGAAAGACCTACGTAAACTGTGGTGTCGTGCAGCAATCAGTCGTCAGTTTTATGTAAAGGCTTACGGAATCCATTTGCACCAACCAAAATGGTCTATCCTCATTATACCACACAAAGATAAACTGATCGTTTGCCAATTTATCGAACGGATGGATTTTGCGATAAGTCCAGTGTAATTGCTATTCAGGGTCCTGCAGAGGATGCAGTTGGCATTTGCTCAAACTTGACTCGCACTCGATCACGCCCTGCAGCCAAATATTCGGTTTAACAGGTTGTCCTAGTTCTTGGTGTTAAATGAAGTGGTGTGAGCAACAAGCGTAAACTGCCATCAGTGGCCGCTGCTGTGATGGACGCAGATAATCCTCTAATTGGAAGTTCTGTTTTTCGAATATATCAGGATAGACGACAGGCCAATCGTTACTTAAGCCTCAGTAAACAATGAAGACCCCTTTGATGTTGATGGCTTAGAAAAAGCGACACTTGGCCTACACAAGGTACAGTTAACAAGTTTTTACGAATAGTCTCACGTGCGAAAGTGCTTTGAAGCAATGCGATGAGAAATGGGATGAGGACAGTCGACCGAACGTTTACTGAACTCGTTTTAATATACCCAAGGACCGTAGTTTAAATGTGGATTTCTGATGTGACAAGTTTGTTGTCGGTCTTTCGTGGACAAGACATGTAAGTGACTTTATAAAGGTCACCCCCTCCCCACAAACGTTCAACCTGCTTTTATTTGCGTAACAGTAGTCAGAGGATACATTCGCATGTCTTGACCAATAGTTTACTTGTATCATTAACTAGATGTATTGTTTATCCACACCTTCCACCCTGTAATTGGCCAAACGTCTGAACTATGAATGTAGAGGAGATACGTTGGCAGTTGAGTTGAAGGTCGTCGGAGCTTTCGGATGGGACTGAAATCTAGAAGTTTCGGACAGGTTCACAGTCAATAAACCCAAGGGAGAGTAAAAAGCTTATTTCCTATCGATTCCTTTTTGTGTCGGGGCCTCTTGCCCACAGCGAAGATATATAATGTTCCTTTTGATTTGGTTGTTCATATATTTTACCTGAATTTACGGAAACACTAAACCGATCCACATCGAAGCGTCCTCGCATCTATATTCAAATAATTCTAGTTTCGTGACACTCGGGTATGTTGTGAACATTTAATTATCTCGATTCCCATTCATGGTCTTTCCCTGCATTCGGAACTTATCAGGCTGCGACTGATTTCCATGCATTTCATTCTGTCTCTACGCCATTGTCTGGTTCAGATTTCTAGATATGCGCAGTTTTCGTGTCCTCTGCGAATCTGCCCTAGTCAGACCGGAAATAATTCGGCTCCAGTTTGATCAAAAAAAGGCTCCCGTGGTGATTTGGTAGATTTATTCTTTGAAAACTATTCTATAAGGAATATAGTTTATGGGACTTGTTTCTGGGTGAGGAAGTGAAAAAAGTCTTGTCCGGCTGTGTTGAATCTACACTAAAGTTTGGTTCAACTTTCGATGAATGTTTCTGCGTCTTGTCTAGGTTCCGTGGATTTGGACGTGTGGTGTTGTTCAACTTAGTGATTTGATTCTGTTCACTTCGAACTTTGACGTCTCTGTACTCTCGACCCCGACTACGGTGTTTTTTACAATAAGCGGGCTCAGCTACCGAATCAGTAACTTTGGTCTTGTTCTCAGACTTAATTGTTGTTCTTTCATTGTTGATCAAGTGAAGTCTCTGTGTGCCGGAAGACCTGTTCCCCTGATTTAATGGAGCAGCTCGACGTAAAAGAGAAGTGATTTTCCCTCTGTATGCAAGCAGCTCCCGCCGAAACGGTGTCATGGTGTGTGAGAGAATGATGGTGCAGACGATGGTGTTGACGGCCCCAAGACAACGGAGCATAAACTCGATTGCTTCCAGGGACGATTCGTATTTTTGTAGGTGGGATGCTTGGTTTCTGGTAATGAATGCGTTTTGTCCGTGGAATTCCGATTCATCCGCGCTCAGCTCATTTCGTATATTCGGTGCCTTGTAAAGACGGTCATCTGTTGTTGGGGTAGAAAAACGGCCAAAGTTAATATAAGTTGATAAAGACTACAAGCATATATTGGTGAGCAAGTCTATTGGTGATCCAAATTGAAAGCCCTACAGAATCCACACAGCCCAACTTTATTCCTTCTCCCAGTATATCTATTTTTTTATCATGTTTCTGAACCATTTCCTTACGCAGTACAAATCGCTTGAAAGCGACCAATGTAACATAAAATGAACGCGTTTAACACCCGTCACCAATAGTTAACCTCCTCGCTGACAATAGAAGCCTTCAGTATTCTCTTCATTAATTTGCGGTTTGGGATCTTTTCTAACCGCAAACCTCAATGCTATTCAGGTGAATAAACTTACGTTTTGACTCTTTGACCCGGGACTGACTGGATCTGAGTTGGTCTATCTCGAGTTAGTTTTGAATGCACAAGCATGTGTTGAGTCGTGGATAGGATTGTACCGCGCGGTTAAGTTTCTAGATTGAACGTCAATGGTTATCTCTAAGTTTACTGCTCAAAATGCACAGGATATACGGCGGTTGGTTTGTTCGCTGAGCTTGGCAATGAACCCAAATTGCACGAAATTCGGTCCATAGTTCGTACTGACTTTCCATAGGCTCATTCACACTAACGATGGAGCGTACGGGTTTTACGTTTGTCGAAATCATGATACCTGCTAGTGGTGTGGATGGGTGGGGCGACATTTTTGTGTGTTTGTTTATAATTGCTGACATTCCGCAAACACTTACGTCGCGGTAAATGTAACAACGTTCGTGGGATTAGGAGGGATAATGTTTTTCGCGTAAACCACTCCAGCTAGGGCGGAGTCAGAAAGACTGAATCGTGGGAGAAGTAATTTCGATCCGACGTCTATGTGCCAAACCTCACTGAGATTTCCAGCGGACAAAGAACGAAGATGGGTGAATCAAAATATGACTCACTATGCTGGAGCCGCAGTCGACCATGGTAGCGCGAGCACACATTGGATAGTTGCTACAATGCCTGAGTGAATGTCTGGAGGTGTGGGCACCTCGGAATGATTGTGGTAAGCTAGCAGTAAGTCCCTTCCCTGTCCACCTTTACCCTTTTTCTTACAATAAGGCTTTCAAATTAATCGTGGTTGTACGGCAGTGAAGCATGGTGTTGAACACTGATGTCATGCTGTCGATGATGATGATGATGATAATGTTGATGACAGTGCTCAGGAAGACAACACCATAGACTTATGCTATTTCGCTACAATGTTCGTTACAGTAACCCAGGGCGACCGGCGCATCTGACGTTCACCGAACTGATGGCAGTGGTAGCAACTGTGAGCAGGATATTGTCTAGTGGACCTGCCCTAGTTCCACGAGGGATGATGGAGGTGATGAATACATCGACATATCGCAAGTAATCTAAGCTTAGACCAAAGTGAGAAAGGAAGCCATGAATTCTTCAGTAGCCTTCTGACAACCGCACATTCAGTCTCATGAGGGAGTAAAGATTGCCACTTCACAAGGTAAACAAAAGTAATGCTTATCAAGAGAATATTGTAAAAAAAATAGTGTAAGTAACAAAGCGGCTGTTTTTTTCTGCGTGCCTTTTGTGAAATCACCTCATGAAACTCCCATTTGTCGTTTAGTTTCTATAAAATAACTTAGCCTGTCGCTCGTGGTCGAATACTTTGGTTTTCATCTACGAGCCAGGATGTCGCGAGTTTGTGAGACACACACTGTGTTCCAGTAAGGATGAAAATGCTGTCAGTATTTCTCGGCTTTTACAGGACGAAATCTCCCTTGAAAATTCCCAAATCTGCTCATACCACCAACAAACTACATGACAACTAACAGGTTATGTCAAAATTTGACCTCTCCATAACGCCACACTCTTTGGCCGTCATTGTTCCTCACAAAATAACGTGGGACAACGTAATAAAAAGGATGAACGGTGAAGGATAAAATATTCTTTTCCTTCTCTGGATTTTCCCAACAGTTATTCACAGTTACCCATATATTCCTGCAAGAAGCCCAAGCAACTAGTTATTGAGGTTGACAAATCCAGTCTCATGTATATTAGAGCGAAATGTTTGATTTTCTCTGGCTTCACAGTCACATGTTGGGCAGATAATCACTATCCGAAGGACAACGTGAACAACCATTCAATATACAAGTATCTCGCCTAACGAATTAAGACAACTTTTCCCGTGCAGTTTTGGCCTTCTAAATGCTGCCGCAACTTCAATTTACCTAAAATTTATATAAATGGGAGATAAAGAGAGGGAAACGAATGAGTTCCATTAACTTACTCGAAAATAACGCATACTTTATGAGGTAGTAGAAACATCTTGGTAGAATGAAAATGCCGGTTGTCAACACCACCATCGCATACGCCCGTATTGTTTCAGTGATTAAATCCAGGTTTATCCATCGAGTGGCCACAGAACAACGTACTTGTGTCATCTGGTCCCGATCATTCTGTTGGATTCTGCTGGCCCAGTATTGCGTCACTGCTTTGGCTTTTTTCAGGTTCTGCTGCCTCACGTCCGAACAAATCAAACTGAAGATACCAGCAATGGTGCAGGTCAAACATGGGAGTACATCGCCCCATAAATGATCCATAATCGGCCACACATAATACAGAAAAAGGGGACTAAGTGTGGAGGTTTGGGAATATCCACACTGATAAATGTTTTGCACCGGCCTTCCATGCAACTGAGTAATATCCGATGGGGACAGGTCGAACGTCCAGAGAAACTGACTATCAAGGATAATTGCGAGAATGGCAGCCAACAAGGCAACATTCTGTGTCCATTCAGAACGAAAACGTATCCAAAATCGAACTGGCTTCGCTGACCATCGACATAGATCTATAGACAAGCCGATTAGCAAGGCTGATTGAAGATGTCGCACCGCACTATGAGTCATAGACAAGAGTTGGCATGAAGATCTACTCACAAACTGCATTGCTGTGAAAAGGCGGATGCCTCCATAGGCTTCAACTAAATAGTCTGTGCCACGGGCCAGTAAATCCAGCTGATCGAAAATTGATAGGTACACAAAGTATATTGCTATTGGTAATTTTCGGAATGACAGTTTGTAACTGACCCGCAGAATGAATAGGTTGGAAATACAGGCCACGAGAAGCAAGAACGGAATGATGATCTTGGCCGCAGTATTTAAAGGCAGCCGGTGATATTCAAACAGGTATACCGTAGAAATGTTGGCCAGTTTGTGTGACTGACGAAGTCGGACTGGACCTAGAAACGTCCCGTGAATCGGGTCGCCTTCTGACAAACGTCGGACCAAGGTGAGATCCTCAGGATTTTCGTCCGGTGCTTGACTCACGAAATGACTGGGGTATCTGGTCCATTCCCCTTCGGGGGCGGAAGCTTTGAAACAAAGAAATACACAAATTCAATTAGATTTTAATGGCTAGATCGAATGTATCAACCTATACAAATGGTGCTCAGTGTAGTCCAGCAACATGTAACCATCTGTTGAATCACAAGAATTTATCAACTTAGTGGTGCATGATTGAAGATTACTCAGACAAACTGGGTGAGCTGTACGTCAACACAAATCTTGTTCCGGTTTTTTAACAAACAACTAGTATTTGACCACGAGCGCTCTATACGAGTTTGTGATTCTAGAAGACAGTTTGAACATTTTTTTTAATTGTTCAGCTTCCTCTTAGACCATTCAGTAGTTGAACATTCATCTACTGGTCGACTAAAGGTTGAAGTTCACAGGCTCAATGAATGGTTGACAGACAGTTATTCGCCTTATCGATCGCCTCGATGTTCCTCCTGTGTCTATATGATCAAGTTGTTTGATGGAGCTGTTCTTATCCTCTGTCTACATCGTGCATTTCTGCCGACCTTCATTTCCGTTAACGTTATCCGCCTGCGTTGGTCGAACATATAGTTGACAGTCACTGGTAGTTGTTGCACTGTTCCCGGTCAGAGCCCAGACTTGCATACATCTGCCGCACTTCAAGTCGGTACAGTTCGGCTCAGAAGGAAGTTATTCGCTTGTCCTAGCTCGCTTACTACGCTTGTCAAACAGTTTTAACGAATTATCTTTTTGCACGCTATTTGGTTGCCAACTATATCATCCGCCAGTGAGTTTACCGGATGACTGCTTTTCTGAGTGGCTGACTAACCGGTTGTTACTGGCCCATTCTCGGAAACCACTGATTACTTAACACTGCCTCGTGTGGCCACATAAATACGCACCGTAATGGAGTTGGTTCTGTTTTGCTATTCATCCTTTGCCGTTTTGTGCTTCTGTATTCCCATTATTTTATCTGTGATAGTCAACAGTATAATTTGTTGCAGTGGTTTATTGGCGAACCGCATCAAACCAGAGTATGATTAAGCTACAGTTTTTCGCGTCTTATTGCTACTATGGTGGGAGAAGACTAACTCAATTTTCTCGTTGGCAGAAATCTCGATCAGTGCTCAAACCGTTCGCCATGTATCTGACAAAATGCCCAGAGTGTCGTCCACAAACTAACTGGTGGTTCGCAGCCTAAGCAAACAGCTGGAGGAATTTGCATCCACCCAGATGGACAAGAAATTCTGTCTCCAAAAACTCACCCAGGAAAAACCTGCTCATCTTTTTTCTGGTTGTTATCATCACCGATGTCACTTAAGTTGGCAAGTAAACTTCCGCAACAGAACTGCCAACTTCTGTGGACCATTCAACCACTATCACTAATAACAATAAAAACCTGTGTTCGCTTAGCATAACAGTGGCCACATCGAGCCCAGCCATTAGTAGTTATACGCTATTGCTTACAAAGCATCTGGTTTATGACTCACAAGTGATCCCACATCCGTCTTAGTTCTTTAAACCAACGTGATATTTAAAAGGAAGAGAAAGTAGGAAGGAGTAGGTCGGTCGATAGGGAGACCCAAAACTGTTTTTCATTATTCTGAGCTGTTATCTTTTAAATAGTGACAGTGCCATGCTTTTATCTGTCAACCTCTCTAAAGCATCACCCTAACCAACGGCTACTGTCCTTTGATAACACAGATTGCTAGTTTACTCTGCCATTTACTCAGCAAACGCTCTTGCAGTTCAAAATGAAAATCAGAATGCTTCAATTACACGTAACCTCCAGCTAAGTAGTGCCCAATTTGACGGAACAGTCTAGATATTTTCGCGAATTCGGCTTCGTTTGGCCCATTCTTGTGAAACTTTCAGCCAGTTTGTTCACTTAAGTTAGTCCGCAATCTATTTAGCTAAGCCAAGTTAAGTTTTCAATTTTTCAGAACCGTCTCCGTACGTCTGCTAGTAAAATCTGACCACGCAATGTATCCATGGGAAGAAAATGACGATAAATCATACCGTTCAGAAAATAACTTGCATATCTAGTTTCATTTTCACAACCCGAATTTCGTTGCCCTCAGTGAAAGTTAGATAAAAGGCTAATTACTGATGACTTTTCATAAAATGGGGCATTTTTCGCACAGGTTTGAAGTAGACAGACAACACTTCGAACTGACAAAATTTTTTTCGGTGAGTATTCATTTAATGGTCTGCTTACCCATCAGTTAACAGCCTACTATTTCATCATTGCTTCTTTACTTTGTCCGATCAGTCGGGCCATTTGGTCACTAAGATATAAAAACCAAGGGAAGGAACATCACTCATACGGCCTGTTGGTATTCAGCCGAACGGCGATTCTATAAATGGGTTTGACAGAAATTTGACAGTTGAACGCGAATCTGGCGACTATGTTTGCATTCTTTCAACCTCAGAATATCTCTCGGTTGTAGTCGCTAAGGCCAGGAACGCAAGATTTCTTTGGTCAGTGTAGACACGCGTATGGATCCATTGAAGATAATCAATATGTTTCAAATGAAAATCTTGGTATTTTACGTGTAGCCGTTCATATACTTCATATCGCAATTTTAGATAATTCGACAATGTGACAGGATGTCAAAAGCCTCTTACTACTACAACTATCACAGCTACGTATGAATTCACTGACGTGGCTTATGAGGTTATTTTCATAGTTGTCCTCTACAATGGGTACACTGGTAAGTTTCTAACGCGAATGCCTTCTAACTCTACTGGTAGGCAATTCTTTCCGAGTTTACGAAAACACGTAATAGGCCCATAAAAATTCAAGGGGACGAAACCCAAAGTAGAAGGTGGGGGAAGCGTGATCAGCTGATCGTGGGTGCTCGTTTACTCACAGACGACACGAGAAGTCAAATTGTAGCAAGTCTTAATGGAAGTTAACTTTAAAGCACATATCGGACGCGTTTCTCCTTCATTCCTCCTAAACTACGGAAGCCTGTTATTGGCGGCATGGTAAGCGAAGAACAACAAGCCCCTGGCAAATTCTATGGAGGTCTCTATTTGCCTACAGCGAGACACTGCGTAGTGTGTACAATATCAGTCGACTCGATCGTTGGGCTCGACCACTAGTCCGGCTGGCAGAGAGTTAAACCAATGTGATAGTACTAAAATTTTCATTGCCTCAACGAATGAATGTCTGAAAAAGCTCCCAATATTACGATTCACGTATATTCATTAATCCGTTTCCTCTTTCATAGGCCTGGAACATTTGCGGGCTGTTTGAGTCAACCCCGCCCACATCATTGCATAGCTCATAACTTCCAGTTTATCCAGGCTGAACTACGTCCCAAACGTCTCTTCTAGACAAACAATGAAAGAATCCGCTGGCAAAGAGTCTTACAGAAGTTTTTAGCAGCTAGTAAATTTTCACGTGCTTCGACTGTTACACCTGCTCCAAAGCGGAATCGCCCAAGTTGTCTGATTATCGGAAGTCCGTCGGTCCCATCCACGGCACTTACAGCGGCATCCATAGACACCTGGACTTGTCGGTGTTTTTTTGCATCAACCAGTCGGAAGCTGTATGCAATAGTCTCAGTCAGGTGGGAAAACAAGCCAGCCTCTACGCAATTACATTAAATAAGTTGGGCCAATTGTTATCCTTCACTCTGTTGGGACATCAAATAAAAGCATATCTCAGGTGCACAGTTTAAAGTCCCATAGATTACTTGAAGGAAACGTTTTGTCGATGTTTGGTGAGTCCCCGTTCTGGTCGCTTAGACGGCGTATATGACTGTGAGCTTTCTGTACCTTCATGAAATCATTGCTGAGTTGGTTACCCTGACTCGTTTGCGGTGTTTCACACTTTTCAGGACTCGCAGATTACCGTCCAGTTTGTGAAGCCGCTTGTTACTAAATGAGGTAGCTAGAGAAAACCTTTACAAGAACTTCAATAGTGGTATTCATTCTTCTTTTTCGTTCTTTCTATTGCACGTTTAGGTATCGCATTGGCCATATCAGCTCACTGTCATCCCCAAACTATGAAAGTCGAGTCGCGCTCAAACCAAACTTTACGCTGTCCGAATCTCAGGTTTGGAGAGCCCAAACCAAAAACCAGAAGCGGTGATACCCGTTGCAGCATAATTCTTAGTTGTTGAATAGGACAAAGATGAATGAACTCAGTTCATCTGTATTTCTTCCGCTACTTGCTTAGCCGCAGAAAAGTAGCTGACGGTCAGCTATCGAGCACATATATTCATGATGTATGGATAGTGTGGTTGACGGGCTAGTGGATCTACTGTTCTTTCCGTCCAATACATCTACTGCTGATATACAACCCATAAGGGGCTTGTCCTTTAGAGTGTTCATTCTTTAATAAAGAAAATTCCATCAAAATCGTAGGCATAATTTACGGAAGGCCTTTGATGTGCATACTCAAAAGATTCCAATCATTGAGTGCGAGCAAAAGCAGACGTTGATTGCAGCCTGCCGTTAACTTTACTTGGGTCGCTTGGATAAACTTCGGGAGCGCCTCACAATGCTCAACTATAGTTCTTGGATTCCTGTTGATCCAGCAGTGTGACAAACTGCTTAAAATATCCCTCGGAAAAAGGTACACAGCTTTCGGTGGAGATGCGTACAGCCTACTAGACAGTCCTTCTCGCCATATGTTTATTCCCGAAAGTATGCCAGTCGCCACTTCCTCACTTTCGAAAATATTCTCCCATGATGGTCCCTAAAGGAATCTAAGGGTTGTGCCGAGGGCAGAAATGCCCAGATGACACTGAATGTGAAATACAGCTATCTGCAAACAAATTTGGTTTTCGCAAAAGACTCATCTGGAATTCAGCTGAATCTCTCGTTCGTGATGTAGCACTGAATGTGATTTGCATCTTCAAATAGTGCCCAAATCTGAGTCCCCAGAACATTATATATTGCGGCACTCGAGGGAACGAATGTGGGAATGATAGTGACAAGCGATCACTCAAGCTGCCTCAGTTTGCCTAGCCACAATGAGTTGGCGGCATCAGCCGTTCCCACCTGTTCCAAAATGAATCCAAACCATTTCTCCTAGTTGCAC